GATTATAATAATACATGCTTTGTGTGGAAAAAAAAAAGTTACTTCCAAAAGGCGGGAAAATTAAAAGCACTGAAATAAAACACAAAGCCTTTTATCTTTAGGTCTCCTGCATAAACACAGTTCAGTCCAGTGCTCACTACTGCAATTATTAAAAGATTGTTCAGTAAGATGTGAAATTATTTGGTTGTCTCAGTCTGCTTCCCACTGGACAGGTGTATATTTCTAATGGCTTTCACTGCCATGGCATCTCGATATCCAAAGAAAAGAGTGATATGACAAAGTTTAGCAAATGAAACAATTCCAGTATTGACCTGGAGTCGGTTCTGTCAACTGAGACAGAGCATCAGTCTCTAGAGCTGTCAAGCTGTCACACTTCACTAATGTAGACTTCACTTTAACATTAATAAAGAAAGGGCAGTAGCCAGCCTAATTTATTTAATGGTCAGCCCCCACAATGGAGCTTCTCCATGAGGAAGAAACACTTGTGCCAGGAGGGCCCTCGAACTGCCTCTCGAACAGAGATGCCCTTGCTGCTGCCCACGCAGCCTTCGCACTCTAAAGGGAGAGAATGATAAACTTCTCTCCCAGTGTTTAGGGAGGCTCATCCTCCATCTCTGATATTACTTATTGATTTGATTTATGGCTCCTTTATCTAATAATCAGATACACACACTTAGATTTCTCAATTTAGCAACTAGGTAACGCGAAGGAATCACAAGCCTCGCTCTTCATAATATCATTAGTTTATGCTATATCTTAATATCCAACATCATAGTGTCATCTGAAACCCCCTATGTTTTAAAGGCTGGAAAACATGTAAGGACACTTCAAACTTTCCCAAGCATGCATGTTCAATACATGATAAAGAACCCACTTCCGGACATCTCATGCAAAAGATGAAACAGAAGAACAAAGCACAAGTAAAGAAGTAGAACTAAATACAAATTAAGTAACAATGGACCATAAACAAAGCCCTCTTCTCCAGACTGACCCTGGATTTCTATTTGGAAAGCAGACTTGCATCTGAAGGAAGACGTGGTGGTAGAACAGTAATATGTATCACATTTTCAAACTATCATATCGTTTCTCATCTACTAGTTTGTTGAGAATGACTGCGACATGAGAAAAGTTACGGATGATTGAAGAATAATATGCTAAATAAGATGCATCTCCTTGTAAGGTGACTAAGAATAATAAAATAAAAACCGAAAGTCACGGTAGTTTCCTTTTTTATCTTCTTTTAAAGAAGGAAAAGTACCCACACAAAACTGTCACTCCAACTGAAGTTGTGTGAGGCTGATATTCTCTTTAGTGACAACCAGAATTACATGACATATTTTGTTGTGTTGCTTTTACCCATTAGGTATTGCTCCAATCTCTTTTTGACTCAAGATAATTATGGTACCTATGATGCAGGACAAAAAGTCTTCTAAAATTAAAAACCAATACTATTTCACACATCCTATGAGTCCCTCTCTGATTGTCAGATGTTGCAGTGCTACAGTTTCTCATGCCCCACCTGGGCAAACCCACCCCAAAACACCTTTACCAGTGCTCTTTCTCACACAGAAAAATCTGTAAGTGGCTGGCAAAAATATGTGTGCAGATTCTGTAAATTTATTGAGACAGAATAAAAATTTTCTACACTGTCCACCCCTAGGAAGCCACAGATAAATAATGAAGAAACTGTAATGCAAATACTGTATCTCACATACGCATGCATGCAAATCAAAGTACAACTTTCATGCAAACTAGATAATGCACTTGCAAATGTACGTAACTAAGATATATATGCTGTCTCTTCAGAAAAAGAGAGAAATTATGCCACTAATACCATGACTGTCCAAGGTATCCTCAAAGGATGAAGAAAGAACAAGAAAACTGGGGAGGGAAGAGAATGGCACAATACCAAATACTTTCTGTAAAAAAATAAAAGAGAACACACAGCATAGAAACGTGAATTGCAAATGAAGATGGAGCCCACAAAAACAGCAGAATTCTGTAGACTGCTCCAAAGACATCATCATCAAGATCTGTAACACTATCTTCCGTACTCTTGAAAGGAACAAGGTTGAAGAAAATAAAAGCATGCTAAACAAGGCTCTGGACTGTCAAATAGACAGAAACCAAGTAACAAGAGTAAAAGAAGAAAGCGCAGTTCAAGCTGCAATACACAAAGAAGCCCTTCCAATGAGAATGAAAAATATCCACAATACACAACAGAGGAAATTCTTTATAAATCACTAAAATTCATTGAGCCAGCAAGAACACGAGGAATTGCAAATCTTATCACTCCTTGTCTGCTGTGCTTGTCTTCATTAAAAGCACAATACACATTTTTTTAAACTGCAAGAGTTGACCTCAACATGCCTAACAAAACCAACTAATGGGAAAGACAAATGTAAAGTGATGCTATCACTCCTAATTCTATGAAGTTAGGGCTGATGAAGTACTAAGCTGAACTGAGCAACTGTGGTAACAATGTGAAGCCATTTCAGAATTCAAATCAAAATGTTGTCTTCAGTTAGGAATTTGTAAGAGCCCATACTTGTACAAAAAAAAAAAAAGCCAGAAGGCCATAGTGAAGAGTTTAAAGACAGACATGGGTAAGAATTTATCCCTTTTTATGGCGTATCAAGAAAATCTGCACTGCTTGTTGTTTTGAACCTGTTTTCCTTTTCTTTTTTTAAATCAACATCTTGTCTACTTTGACTTGCCTCAAAACCTGATTCAACAGGTATGAGAACCACAGGTTTCTCATATGGAAAACTAATTAAAATACTGAATAAAAATTATTTACTTTCAATTCTTCACTTTGTTACATCCACACAAGAATGAAGACATTGCTGTCCTTAGCAAGAAAATCCAACTTTTTTTTTATAACGTGTTTTGCTTTTGTTAACATCTATGACATTCCAAGACGATGTAAGTATTATGAAAAAAACTAAATTAAGGTTTCCATTTACTGATGTGCTGTATCAGTTAGAAAGATCTTGTGACCTTCCACAAACAGACCTCAGCAAAACTTAGAAGAAATACAGGATTAAAGTACTTTCCCCCATCACCTCTCTGTCCCAGAGGACCCAGTGCACCAACACCACAACCACTCACACTTCTGAAGACAGTATAGAATTCTGTGAGAAAAGGGCATACAAAAATCTCTTGAAGATCAAGAGTCTAATGACCTTTTCTATGTTAAATTAGGACATTAGGTGCACTGTAGTGAACAGCAATTATCTGTACCCACCATACTTTAAAAAAAAAAAACATAATCCATTAAGATAAAGCCACACCTCTTTAATTTCATAATTTTACTGCCCTTACATACAAGATTTAATGTGAAATTCTACCTTACCAAAAACTTCCGTACCACTGTCATGTTTCACCTCATTGCTTAAAAACCCAGGGAATAAAAGTCCCTCCTGCTTTGCTACTCACACATACAACCTACTAAGCACTGTATTTAAGAAAATAGGTATGAATCACGGTTTGCTTTTCATCATATGTTCCAGGTCACAGATAAGCTAAGGCACTAGAAGCCTCCTCTGCTACTTCTTATGGGAAAAAGTCATTAAATCCTTCATCATGACTCTGTTGATTTGCTCCCTTCCACCACTCAACACAATCACATACAGCAGAGGGAACTTCCCATGGTTATTAACAATTTGGGGGTAATAGCGTTACAGCTGAGTTAGCATGTTCTCTAACATTTGAGTTTTATATGACAAAAGATTTAAGTTTTTCTAAAGTTGACAGCATGGAAGATTATGAGATACCACACAGCCTTAACGCTAAATTTAACTACTGTCAAAAATTTTGCCTTGTAGGTGTATGGGTAACTGTGGTTATCATGTACGAATTGCAGCTGAGACATGACTGTGTTAAGGAAAATATACAAGCTGCTACCTGACTGTGAAAGGGCTCCTTTCATTCCTGTAGACTTCACTGTGCTGTAACAGTGGTGATGGTTTTGCTGTGAAACCAAGGTGTATGTCCCAAAATCCATTAGCTCTAGTGCTTTTATATGCAGGCATGTCTATAACACACACCAATCTTTCTACCTATACCTGTAGCTAACTCTTTTATCCTGTCCTATCCTATGAGCTTTTAGAGATATACAATTCTTTATTTGTTAAACTTATCAGGCAGCCTGGTAAGAGTTCGACATGCAAGTGAAAATAGTTCTGCAAATTGCATATTTAGTGGCTTCCCTTCACTGCATTACTGCCACCAAAGTGCACTACCCCTCCTGGTGAAGAGCTGCAGCAATTATTAATTTATTCCTGGAACCATAATCATTGCTTTGTCTCTTTTACCACTGAGTTCCTAACATTGATTATATTGGCTATTGACAACTGCTTCTGTGGAAGTATGTCAAACCATTACAGTCTATCAGATCTCACAAGAGGCTCAGCATCCTTTCGGAGACAGCATTTCTAACTTCTGCTGAAACCAATGACGTTAGAGGGCAGCCTGTATATCTCAAGATTGATTTGTCAAAGTGTAAATCCCCTACAAAGAGTCAAATTCGTAACATGAGAGGAAAAAGAATGCATTAGTGTATTACAGTGCTGCATAGTTTATCTGAATAAATGTTGTACATTAACAGCATTGTCAGCTTCTAATTAAAAAGCAATCATGAAGACAAACTATTTTATTGTGTTAACTTTACTATGCAGTAGGTACAGACAAAGAAAACATTTTCTACTACTAACCTTACCAGCTTTTGGCATGACTGCCTTTCCTTGCAGAGTACTACTATACTTGACTTCTCAATCTTTTCAAAACTTAGCTTAAAAGAAAGTAATACAATCACAATGCTAACATGTTAAACATCACTGATAGGATTTTTCACCACCACACTACTGACAGAACAGTTTCTTAGTGTGTTAGAAAGACAATTAACAGAATTTTTGACCGGCATTTTAAAATAAGATTTTTCTGAAGCTACCAGACTTAACTAACTTCAAATCTCTGAAACAGTCAAGCAATACACGCACCTGCAATCGGAATATTCTGTGAGACTGACAGCTGTACATCTCCAGTCCCAGGTGGCATGTCAATTACTAAATAGTCCAGTCGACCCCAGTCAACCTAGAAGATGACAATAAAAATGTATGTTGGAGGTTTGAAGTGTTTTTATTTAAGGCACTTTATAGGAAACAAGAACTGCAATAAAACACAACGTAAAACAAGTGAACCAAGGACACCTCAAAAGAATGATATGAGATGCCCTTTTAGTCATGCTTTCAGTACAGGATCAAGACTTTTTTTTTTTCCTAAGAGATACAATCTTTGCTGATCACTCACAACTATGACCATAACTTTATTATTAACTTCATGAGAATAATCCTTATTGAATTCTTTCCCCCCAAAAAGGTAGCAACAACTTAATTTAAGACTTTTACTTTGCAGCTGCTTAATCACAGCTTAGAAGCAAATGTTAGGTAAAATTCAGGCTAAAATTCTGGGGTTTGTGCAACAAATGCTGTTTAGGAATTGTTTCCGTTAATTTAAAGCCAATTTTGCTTGCTTCTTATCACTTCTTTGAAACTACATATAAATCTCTAGTAATTTTTTTCTGGTTTGTTGTTGCGAAGTTATTTGTACATGGAGAGCTATTGGTACTGAACTTTTTCTAGGAAAAAGAGCTGTTGGGAGGGGGGAAAAAAAAAAAAAAGGCTTTGTTAAATCACCAGGTATAATTACACAGACTTTCAATGTACATACAACATCACACAATAAAAAAAGTTTACTGGTTGCTAAGCATCAAATGAGAGTGACTATTAATACCTATTAGGCTCAAATGTGAGAATGCTGTGATTATTTACGTTCTTTACCAGGACAGATTTCCAGGAGAGCCAAATCACCCCCTCGAGAGCACTGCATACTGCAATGCACGGTCTCTTCATGAGAACAGAAATGGCCCTAGGTCTACTCTATATAATGTAAAGCCAAGCTGTACTTCGCCTAAACACTGCCCAATGGTTTAACCAAGCTTCGGCAGATCCTCGATTCGATTCTGACATGGCACAGGTTAGTACCAGTGCACTCTTACCAGCCAGCAGTAATGATATAAGGTCTTTTGCCTCTGCAGTACAGAAGCTTTAGAAGTCATAGCCATGTTAAAAAAATAAAGACTCACAAATGTCTCCCCCTCTTTTTTCTCTCCACACAGACATAATGCAATTATATGGTATGTTTCTGATTCATACAACGGATATAAGGTAACAGTCTATGAGCTGCTTTAATACAGGAAAATACCAAACAAGAATAGGATTTTACATTCTCTTTTATTTTACACATTCCCTCGGAGTCATTTTAACAGCAAAAACAACTGATATTTTGCCAGTCCCCCAGTTATTGTCCTGGAGTGTTAGACCCTGTCAGGGGAACACTCATGCATTTTCATTCAGTTCTTGTACTGATGATGATGATCTGGGGAAGCACAAGCGATGTGAAATCCAGACCGCTAACCCAATGTAGCACTCCAGTGAGAAATGGAATTTTTCAAGGCAGGCTGATGAAGATGGAAGATTTCGGAGCACTTATGGGAGAAGGGGAATGGGGAAGGTTAGTTGCAAATTCTAACTTTAAACATCTAAATTAGGGACTCTCGGGCACACCTCCCTTTCCTCATTTTCTATACAAAGGTTGCAGGAGCACTAAATGGTGCCTAGGACAGTCTAGCTAAACAGGAAATGCTACTTATGTTAACCACAGCAAACACTGCACTTTTCCACATTTAATATTAACCTACAATACCTGTATTATTTTATAAAATCTATATTTTGTCAACAAGAATGACATATAACTAGCGGATTTCTAAAAGTAATTAGCATTCATAATCATATTGAGACTACATAACCCCAAAGAAAAATTACATATATGTGCAAGAATATACATACTAAAACATAAGCATGGGGTAGAGAAGCCAGTTTATCTAAAGAAATCTGTTTCTTACTCTGTTTTTCTTAACTAATCTTGCTTAGTTATAAAGCAAGATAAATGCCAGTGCTGATGAATGCCTCCTTTTCCAGTGAAAATTACTTCGCTCACTTGAAGGCATAAACTTTAAATTTCTGTTTCTTAATTAAAAATTAACCATTCTAAAGGTGACAAATTGAAATTACATAGATGTTAAAAAATAGCAGTAGTTTACAACATGAGTGAACTCAAGTTCCTTAAAGATTCACAACTAAACACATATATCCTCTTATAAATAGTTAAGTGCATAAATCTCAATATGCAAAATGAAATCTTTCATAATAATCACAACCATTTTGAAACGCTAAGGTATAGAGGGGTTTATTTTTTTAAAAAGGATTAACTCAAAATACCTTTTTCCCCCTCCCCCATGTCTTCATAAAGGCTGATCCTGGCATCTTTTTTTAAGTCCAAATTTACGAGTCCAGTAATCATATTTTCCTTCTTTAAATACTTCTACAGAAACTATGAATAAACTGGGTTTTTGCTTTCTGCCTTGCAGCAAGATGCAGCCCTGAAACATATCTATGAGTGGCACAGCTCTACTATCATTCTGACACAGTTTCCAATCACTTTGTCTGCCAAAAACACTTGGTTCTTGAAAAAACTTGAATATTGAGTAGTTCTCAGCCCTTTTCTCCACGAGCTCAACTTCAAGTCCTTTGAGGTACACCACTACCTCATGGAGTAGTGCAAGACAATCCAAACCCCACCCTTACCAGAGGTAACTGGAATAAAAAATAAATACACTGGGTTTTTCCCCATAGCTAAAAGCTGTCTGGTTTTGCATATACTTGCTGGCCCTAACTTTAAGCTAGCTGCTCCTGTGGAACAAGGTGACTTTCTGGGCCTGTCCTATAGCTTTCCTTTTCACTCTTACCAGAGGTTCTGCTCCTCCAACCTCTTCAAGCGCTAGTCTCCTTCATCAAGCTCCATGTGATCCTCCTACCTAGCAAGCATTACAGTTCCCCAAAATAAACATCCAGAGTTATTCCACTACTATGTGGAATGCTAATGGAGAAGACCAGTGCTCAAACCCTTTCCTAGGCATCCAGTTTTGTGGGGAAGCACAAAGCAGTTGCTGCTCTTCTAAGCAGAGGTAGCTGCCTTGGTAAAAACATCTCCATGTAGAACCTTTAGAGTAAAAGAACACTTTTATAAAGATCTTACTGCTTCAAAAACACACAAAACAATTGTTGTTCAAGAAGTTACTTCCCAAATTTACCAGGCAAGTAGAATGGGAGAAGGGGTACAGAAATCAGAGGGCACCAGAGCTTTCTGCCTCAAACTTCCTTAGTAAGCGACCCCATAACAACAAAAAGAACTTTCAACATGCACTTTCTGGATTGTCCTATAAGTAATGATTTTTATTGAAGTTATAGACCTCTGAAAACAGAAGTTAATAATGGAATCTTAAGCACATGGTGAATCTCAAGGTAAATCTCACTGCTAGGCAACAGGAAAAATGTTAACACATAGTGCAATTAGATTATAACGCTTTACTTAATTTATGGCACTGAAACCATCTTATTTCATGTATTTTCTTCAAATTCATGGATTGCAAAAAAAGAAATGAGCTGTCTTTATCAAATGAATTGTGCTCCATTATAATACTTATAAATCTGAGCACAGAAAAATGGAGAAGCTGCACCATCCCAGCAGCAGTGGAGAGGGTGTGTTGCTGCTGTGCAGAGTAGGACGGAAGACAGGCTTTTGTTACACCAGTTCAGAAAAGGCAACAGTGAAGGTGTCTATGTGCACAAGTCTTGAATATAAGTGAGAACTACCCTCCACACACCTCTCTGAGTTATGCCACTGCTGTGGTGCCGAACTGGTGGAAGTCAAATGGTAAACTAGTTTGGAAAACTGCTCCTCATTAAAACTAACCTTGGTTTTAATTTTGGAGTTTGGATGTAGTCAAATAGTTATCCTCACAATTTTATTCTCTTCTTTTTTATTTGTAATTCAGGGTGAGAATGGAGAGCTGCACCACAATGACATAGCTATAATTGCTGAAAAGAATTGAGCTAGTGTTTTTGCCCAGTAGTGAACAGTGTCCGCTGGACATACGGACTTGCTCAGACTTAGGTTGGGGAACTCCGCACCTCATCTCATTACTCTCTGTAGACTTCTTATTCTCTTCTATTCTGCAAGTAGATGATGAACACTGTGGAGTTCAGTTGCTCCTCCATTACCCTCCCACAGGAATACACAAGCAGAATGACAGCCTTTTATTAAACCAATTATTGACTGTAATTTGGAAGGTATAATGATTTGTTATAGAAGCGTACATGTTATTCAATGGGAAAAGAAATTCCAGGTCTGTTACTAAATTTCAGCAAAGGAGAAAAAAAGGGAGGAGAGACATTTTTAATTAAATTTTGAATTGGAATATATAATCAGGAGTGGCTTTCTGAAATCTAGTATTGCCATTCATTCAACATTATTAAAATGGGATGTATAATCAGGCTGTGATATAAAACACTAATTTGAATGCAAATCCTGTTTATATGCAACAATTTACCAAATCAGGACCACTAGTCCTCATGTTCTCAATCAGTTCTGATAAGTGTGTCTGTATGCAAATGCAGTTGCATACAAGTAAATGAGCTCAGATTAACAGCACATTACATTAAACAAGTTCCCTTTGCAAGCAATAAGTGGACAGCGGTTACAAAAGCCTGCCTCGTAGCATCTGAAATCTGTCAGCACCTTTGCATGTACAGAGGTCTTAATATCTTTGCCCCTCTAATATATACAGTGTGTAAAACATTTCAAACCACAGAAATGTAATTGCACTTTCCTTAAGTATAGCATTCATCTTTTTTAAAAAAGGTTTAACTTGACATTTATTGTTAAGCAATGTAATTAAGACCCATGTGCTTCTGTGTATTTTCCCTTGCTCAGAAACACCACGAATGCTTCTATGTAAATTACTTTAATCAATCACTCTGTTTATGTGACAATTCATAATCAAAATACCAGATATGCATTTTGAGTAAGGGTTCCAAACAGCAAGTTAAACCCGAGCTAGAGCACCGAGATATAGATGGCATTTCTGCTGAGGAATGAAGCCTGAGCATCCTCTGTGCATGAGGCAGAAATGA